GTGTACTAAATTGGTAAAAATAATATTATATGTATGAATAAACGCCGCAGTCCCATTGAAATTAAATATGCTGACGGCTTTGATTGAGGTCTGTACCCTTGGAAAGAAAAGGAAGATTGTGATTTATGATATAAATAAATATTTCTTTGCGATGGCTTTTGATGTCACCGAATCGTGGTAAATGTAACACTTAATTTAAGTTATCAATATTTTGGTTAATATAATCAGACTACTGTTATTTAACGACTATACAAGTAATAAACATTTTGCTTAGTATAATAATTGGACCAATCAGAAGTAGATACTACTATACGTTCTAAACTACTACTTTATAGAAATATGAAACATTTTGTATTTACATATATACTGCATGTAGAAAATACTAAGGCAAACAACCATACTAGCGAATATAAATGATTACATCGTACGAGAATCGAACCGCGACTATCAGAAGCAAGGTAGCGTGCTAAATTACTGGCCCAAGAGGAAACGTAATGTAAGAAAGCACTTTCGAGAGGTTGAGTTGACGATGATTCGCTTCAAAGTAACTTCTTGGTTAATTTTAATAGTTCCATGTGTTTCTATTACCGGATAGTTGGTCAAAAGTACAAATTGACATGCAAAGTTATTTTAATATCGGCCAGTTATGTAACTATAATAGAGATTGAGGTAGTAAATCTGTTCAGCGTTTGCCAAAATCGCAAAACCTTATCCGAAATCTTCTGGAGGAGGCTCTGCGTATTACAGCAGAGCCTCCTGTGTAAAATTAGGTATTACTAATTTATTAGTATCAGCAGTACTAACATAGTACCATCAGCTTAACCATGGCTTGTTGTTACTCCTAGTTACAAGTATAGATAACAAATTTATCACGTTGAGCATCCAACGGCAACACATGCGCTCCAACTTCGCAATTTTCTCATCAAAATTGCGTAATATTACGGAAATATTGTATTTATTGTCAATGCTTTTGATATAAAAATGCTTTTCACCCCTTGCTTTATAAGTTTACCTTTCTCTTCGCATAAATCTTGGAAAATCTTTCCTGCATAGAATATAATATCGTATGCATATAAACAACATTTATTATTTCACTTGAGTACGTCTTCTATTCACTTACTCCCATTTCATATTTTTATGAAAAGCTTTGAAATGTATTTACCTACATAATGACTATACCTATGACATTTAAAAATCACGGTTCAACCGACTTGGCGAATATATTACGCATTTGAGTATAAAACATTGTAACGAGAAATTTATTTTTTATGTTTGTGTTGAATGAATTTACAAAACAATTGACGGTTTTTGAATATTCTTTCAGTTATAAATAGCTACATTATTTCCGATTAATTTTGACAAGGAGTAATACAAAACTAACGGAAGACTGATAAAAATATATTATTACTGGCTGACCAGCGCAACCTCGTCTGCATCACACATACTTATCACTTTCACACATACTTTTCACAGATATTTAGCATTTATGTTTCGTCCAATTTACATATTTATAGTCTGTGTTATTCTGATATATTATATAAGCTATATTACTGTAAACCTTCATCAAAATCCGTTCATTATTTTTTATGTGAAAGATTAACAAAAATCCATCCATTCCCACAAACTTTCGCATTTATAATATTACTAGCTTTTACCCACGACTCGCATTTAATTAATTTTTTTTTTAATAAAAAGTATCCTATGTTCTGTTTAATACCTTTAAAAACGTGTGTACAAAATTGCATGATGATCGGTTCAGTAGTTTGTGCGTGGAAGCGTTACAAATATCCTTACTTTCACATTTATATTATTAGAATAAGGAATTTTGGATTGGAAAAGAAAAACTTAGTTTAAACACCCAATTATGTCTGTCAATATTATGTAATTGTCTCGATTCGTAATTTATAATGCCCATAAGCTGTTTGTAAATTTTTATCCCAAAATACCACCTGTGGGTAGAACTTTGCAACCCTTTGAGAGACTGAACCTTTTGCTTCCAGTTATAATTAACATATTTCAAATTAAAATTAATGTATCATTTATTATACCGTTACGATGGGTTGCGTATCTTACATCAAATATTTTAGAAGTTTCATTTAAATAATTTACTATTTAAATTTTACCTGAGCAATTTGTTTGCCAAGGTTAAAAACGGGGTTGAATGGGTCCACTGTAAACCACATGAGTAACTTATCCATATATCCTCCAATTTAAACATTAGTAATTCTAAGAAATGTATATGTAGTTATATTTGTTAGCAAAACTAAGAGTAATATTATAAACGGAACGTAGGTTTAGTTGTCACTGTTCACGCTTTAATGTCTTAACCAATCAATACGAAATTTCCTACATAAGTAGAATTTGGGGTTAAATAGGCTTTTATCACAGCCCATCATATCAGTCAAGTACCTAGACTAACTAATATAATTTAGAGAAAGAATTTACATTCATATATAGTGTAATTTAAAGAAAGAAAGAAATAGTATGATTTCTAGTAATATTTGGTCGACATGTAATTGGGCTGGCAAACAAGATTACGTCACATCGGACGGTAAGTGGTAAACGTCACCTATATATATGAATAGCACTATATCATCATGTTATTATATGATAACCGTGTTAGAACTACCACATGCCTAGCCATTTTGAAGGACTAAAATGTGATATCCTATAAATTCACTGCCTAATTGGATCCTCCAATAGAAACGTAGCTTAGAAAGTAAACTGTACGAGTGAAATAGGTACGAATGAGCAATCCTCGCAGACGATATTGGTCCCTGCCATGTTGGATTATGTGTTATGATTTCTTTTGCCACAATGTTCTATATACCAGGTATTCATAAAATACATGGGTGATTTGACAACCCTTTTATAGTCGGCTAGAAACAATCGGAACGGAAAAAGCTTTGTCGTCACAAGTGTTTTAAACATATCATTATTTGCTGACCCCTCGCCCCTGGACGGACGTGCAAACAGATTCCTCAGTTTATTGTTTGTCATCGAGCGGTGATCCGTTTGCAAGGGTCACGTATACTAACCTCGCCTGAAGTACTTAAAGGGAGAGGTTTTGGTAAACAAGCACGCCAAATAAGTTGCTTACTTATAGAGTTTATGCTATCAGTGTCGCACAGACATAGATATGAGTACCAGCCACTTTGGTTAGTGACAACAAATAAAAAAAAAACTATGTGCGAAATTACTACGATATGTTTATTATGCTTATTGCGCACCTCGTTGTTACTTCAGGCATTAACTAAAAATCAGTTTTTTTTATACCACGTAGGTGGCAAACAAGCATACGGCCCATCTGATGATAAACGGTTACCGTAGCTCAGCTCCTTGACCAAGAAACCACACTGAGGTATGACATATTTGCAAGCATTGTGCGTTGTCAGATAACACTGTAGCGTACATTTGTATATTGTCTATTTTTAATTTTATTAGCAGTTAGTTATACATTTATTGTTTATCTTCATATGTATTATTAGTTTATATATGGTTACACTTTTGGCACAAATGGTACAAATATATATTTATCTACAACTCTATATTTTCAGCCTGAATTAACCGCCAAGAATGCCTTTATATTAACTGTAAATTTTTCTTCTATAATCTTTGAAGTTACTATTAAATTATCTTCTCTATTTGATAGACAATATTATAGGGCACTGAGGTAGGCCCTAAGGTAGGCCTCTAAAATGGCAATGCATGCAGGGTCGGCCGTCACATGATAGCGTAATCTCCGAAGTAACATTCATGTATATAAGCGACGGTTGCCACTTTCGATCATAAGGTCATCACCATCTGCTTCTTCCTTCTCCCATTTATTTGGGGTAGGCGTAATATGTTTTTCTCTACCATTCAGCTGTTCGCAGTCATCTCATTCTTTACTCCCTTTCTCACCATATCATCTTTCACACAGTCCATCCATCTCTTTTTCGGTCTTCCTCTACCCTTATAACCATCCACATTCATATGTAATACTTTCTCAGGATATGATCTCATCATGATAAGGTCCATCAGCTAATTTTATATAATGGAATGTACTAGTTAAATGTAAATACATAAATATGTGCCCGTAAGTACTAACTTCGAAAACCACTACTTTGAAGATTATTCGGAGGTTCATTTATAAACTGCATTAATTATTTAATGGGCACCATTATAAAAAGGTAGCCGATGTAATTACGTTTGTGTTCAAGCTAACGGTCTCGTGTACGGCATTTTGGTACCGACACGAGGCAACTGTTTGGAAACTCGCCCAGTTGTATTCAAACGTATTTTATAAGCCGGGGTAATCTAATCTTCAAAGGTATGTAAACTTATGAGGGCGAAGCTGTGATTTACGCCAGGTATGTTAAGATTTGATGGCTTCTCTTCCTTTCACTTTTACTGTTGATGTGGATATGAAATAAGCAATAAATAACTCTTTACCAAGTACATAGATGTATACAATCTAAATAATTTATTAGTCGAATCAGATTTCTCTGTCTATCTTCTCTTTTAGAAACCTGATGTGAAGTTCAACTAAGAATCTACTTCAATTGTGAGCTATAACTAGTGCTATTTTTTAGCAAAGGAACGTGACGGTAAGCGATTACCGCTTATGAACGCCCTTTTACAGCTGTATTACGGGTGTGATGCCGGCCTGCTTTAAAGGTATTTGCTATTTCCTTGAAGGAAAAAAAGTCATACCCGTAGACAATTTAGTCTAGTGGCGTGTAATTTAATTACATTATTACCACTCATCTTGGCACTCATTCTCTTTTGTTTTTTTATTGGCATTCTTAATTGTTATATATAGTGGTTAAGATAGAATTAAATTAAGTTTTCAACAGTTTAAGTTTTCTTAGTTATCTAATTTATACAATGTTTAATCAAACATTTTCTTTACATAATAGAACCTCATTACAAAACTCATAACTAACCGTATTTGTGCTGAAAGAAACTAAAAAAGTAACAACATGTTAATGGAGTATATGGTAGGTAAAGGTACTTACGGCAGTAGGACTTTTCTTGCTACGGTTGGAGGAAAAATGTTCAATTACTTCCCAGTTGGATTTCTTGGGTGCGGGAGTATCTGCGGGGGACGGAGAGGCGCGGGGGGCCGCGGAGGGGGTGCTTCGGCCGGAGTCGTCAGTACCTCGAACTGGGGTCGCCGCTGAGCGCAGGGAGGCGCATCGGCGACCGCGCAGGGCATCCTGCAGGGTTAATGCAATCAGTTTAGGATCGGAGGAATTTTTTTTTATTGGGTTGTTTGGGCTTTTGTCACGTGCTTGGACCTGTAGCACTGCGACCTACATAGATCTATTGTGCTCGCCCTTTTCCAGAGTTCACTACCTAGACCCGTCAGGTAGCGAACTTTGAAAAAGGTCTGAGGATCGGAGGTAACGTGCGTGTGATCGTGGAGACTTTAAAGTAACCAAATCAATAATCTAATAGGTAATTATTAACAAGCGTTTCAGGTTAATGACGTCATCACGATCTTAGTCAGATTAGTTAGTTCGATCACCTCGTGGATATGTCAGAGTATACTGTAACAAAAAAAGTGTTAAATTTACCGATTTAAGGGTTTTATAAGTGCAATAATAAATTAAGCCCCATATACATATAATTAACCGTCTTGTCGTTGCATAATAATCATAGATTATACATATGACAGTATCAATAACATTCATTACAGAAATGGTTAAAGGACTGTAAAGATACTTACAAAATGTAATAACAGTTAATTTGTATACATAAATAATTTGTTATTGTTATGTAATACGACCGTAAATAATGTAACGACGTATATTATCAAAACAAATATAAAACAAAAATCATTTATACATATAGGACATTTTAGCCGGCAAAATTAAAAATTAAGAGGCTGGAAGGTTTCAGAATTTTTTACACAAATTTTGTGACTAGACCTTGTTATATAATATCACATATGTGACCAATTCCTGACCAATTCAACAAGCACAACGAAGATGTAACGATATGGATAGCCTTTTGGCACAAAAGTCTTGTATTTCTAGTATATATTATTAAAAAACAAAAGAAATAATTTAATCAAAAATAATTTATTCAAGTAGGATATTTTAGCCGTTTATGGACGTCAAGGTTTTTGGTCATAATATTTTTTCCCTAACGTCCAGTTCAGTATACAGATTCTGTAAGAACTGGCAAGAATCTCAACTGAATTTCTTTTTTGTACTTATGTATCTATGTCTAACATTAAATAAAAATCCCGTTGATGATCAGCTGCCACTGTACGTTTGTCACTCGAGTATATTTATTATTGTATATTATATCTATAGAATACAACCTGCCACTTTGCTTGGCGTTTGTGGACTATGAAAAAGCCTTTGATTCGATCGAGACGTGGGCTGTGCTACAGTCTCTCCAGCGGTGCCAAATTGACTATCGATATATCGAAGCGTTGAAATGTTTGTATGAAAACGCCACTATCTCAGTTCGCCTCCACGACCAGAATTCGAAGCCTATCCAACTGCAGCGAGGTGTCAGACAAGGCGATGTCATATCGCCAAAGCTGTTTACCGCTGCGTTGGAAGATGTCTTCAAGCTTCTGGACTGGAGCGGGCTGGGCATCAACATTAACGGCGAGTACATCAATCACCTTCGATTTGCCGACGATATCGTGGTCATGGCTGAGACCCTGGAAGACCTTAGCAAAATGCTCGAAGACCTCAGTAGAGTCTCACAAGGAGTAGGTCTTAAAATGAACATGGACAAAACGAAAATTATGTCAAACGTCCATGTCGTACCTGCTCCCGTAAAAAAATCGGAGATTCTACACTCGAAATTGTCGATCACTACGTATACTTAGGGCAAACTATCCAGCTAGGTAGATCCAATTTCGAGAAAGAGGTCAATCGTCGAATCCAACTCGGATGGGCAGCGTTCGGGAAGCTCCGATATATCTTTTCGTCCAAATTTCCGCAGTGTCTCAAGACGAAGGTTTACGACCAATGCATGTTGCCAGTGATGACTTACGGAACAGAGACGTGGTCGCTAACTATGGGCCCCATCAACAAGCTCAGAGTCACTCAGAGGGCAATGGAGAGGGCTATGCTCGGAGTTTCTCTGCGTGATCGAATCAGAAATGAGGAGATCCGCAGAAGAACCAGAGTGTCCGACATAGCCCGAAGAATTGCGACTTTGAAGTGGCAATGGGCAGGGCACATAGCTCGTAGGACAGATGGCCGTTGGGGCAGTAAAGTCCTCGAGTGGCGACCACGGACCGGAAGACGCAGCGTGGGAAGGCCTCCAGCAAGGTGGACCGACGATCTGGTCAAGATCGCGGGAAGGCATTGGATGCGAGCAGCGCAGGACCGATCGTCGTGGAGATCTTTGGGGGAGGCCTATATCCAGCAGTGGACGTCTTCCGGGCTGCGATGATGATGATGATGATGATATTATATCTATATAGATTATATCAACCTATTCAAAAATTTTGTACCTCTAGCCATAAAAGATCCATTGACGTTTTTTAAACGATACTTGCAAGTTAGCAGCAAGTTTGTCTTCAAATCCAGTATTAATGTTATGAATACGGGCGTTTTGGAAATAAGTGAAGATTTAGCGTGCGGTGCATAATTTTCTTTTATGTATATTATTACGTGTACCCTATTTAATTTGTCTTAAATATTTGATGGGTCTTATATATGTAATGTTATTAAAACCCTTCAAACACAGCTTGTTAATTATGTTCAATAATAAATAGCCACGTGGGTACGTGAAGATAATCATCGAGGTAAACGTACATCGCCTCGGGTAAATTGTCGTATATTAATTTACTTAATTAATTTAGAGGTATTTATTTACTTCACCAAGTATTAAATGTCTGTTCCACCCAGCACTGTACTAGTATCAAGTAGAATTAATAATCTATATTCAAATGAACTACTTATTACTGACGAACTCTATGGTCTAGCGGTTCACACCGCTTTACGTCCGATGGTAGCGGGTTCGATTCCTGGCACGGCACAAACATTTGTATTCATGAGTATAATTGTTTGTATCAGTCTGGGTGTTTTCTATGTATAATAAGTATTTAAAATATCCATGCATTTGTATCAGTTATCTAGTTTATAACTGATACAAATGCATGGATATAGCTAACTAGCTGTAGCTAGCTTAACTAGGGTCTAGATGGCACTTTGTGAATTGTCCTGAGTTTATTATTAGTTTTCGATGGTCGCGATTTCCCATGGCATTTATATTTGTGAGCGAAGGATGATATATATAAATATTATTGTATAATGGGCTGGTAAATATAATTAAGGAAAGATGGTTTATAGGAAGAAAGAATATAATTGGGTGTACAAAACATAAATAATATATTAAGAGATGCGTCGTGTACAATACTCATGAGTATGATTGTTTGTAACATATTTTGTTTCTTTGTATAATAATGTATTTAAGTATTTCTATCAATTGTCGATAACACAAGCTATGCTTTTTTATTTTAAAAGAAGTTACGATGGTTTTATGTCTATACAGTTATTGCCAAACTGCTCGAGTTTGTCAGCGAATACAGACACATTTTTTTCATAATGTAATATTGATATATTATTATACTATGTCATTTTATACATACTTTAACTACAATATATACTAGTCACTATTAGATAACTGCTACTTAGTGTATACATAATATACCGCTTTCCTAGTTTTATTTCTATCTAGCTATTCCCGCGACTTCGTTCGCGTGGAATTTAACTTTATTTTTCCAAAATAAAAGTATTCTAGGTTACTCCTTATTACATCAGCTACCTGCCAATAAAAGTCCCGTCAAAATCGGCCCAGCCATTTCAGAATTAGCCGGAACAAACAGACAGAAAGACAGAAAATTTAAAAAAAGTTATTTTGGTCTATGTGCTATATTTATATTCATATGCATCTAGTAAGAATCGGTTATTTCAATATTACAAACAGACAGTCCAATTTTATTTATATGTATAGATGACGACCATTCATTTTAAATACTTTTTGAAAATCATTTTCGATAAAAAAAATTATTCAATATTCTATTATATAACGTAGTTTGTCTCATTGTCTTGGTTAATTTGAAAATTTTACTATGTATTTATTTAATTTGTTATCACTGTTTACATTCACTGGAAGATTGGTGTTATTAATAAGAAATTCGCGGTAATTAGAAGACTATGACGCTCGACTCCTTTTTCTTCGACATATATCATTCATTAAACCAATTAGCTTATTTAACTAATTCAGAAACGGAAATTCATTTAATTAAACGCCAATTAAACTTGGTCCCATTAGTTGAACCGTATATAAGTGATGTAAGACACAGTATTAAGATATTGTTTAGGAATAAAATTCTAAATTCAATTATACTTTTCTACATTATTTCCAATGTTATCATATTAGTTACTAATGACGACTTTATCTGCATGTTTATAATACCTCTTTTTTTTTCGGACTATTTTAATACTGTTGGCCGCAGCTGGCCTTTACAGCTTCACCGGACGATAGAGAGCGAGTTCAGATGGCAAACCTGCGGAAGGACTTATGGAACGGCTGAAGGCCAATTCCACTGACATACGGGCATCGCCAGGTGTTCGAGCCTTGGCTCAGGCTGTGGTAATTTCGATTTCCATTTGAATTGGGTGGGGGATCGATCGGAGGAGACCATAATATATCGTAATATAAAACAGTGTCTTTCTCTTACATAAGTCTTCTTTAAACTTTAAACTTTTTGTATTATATCATCATCATCATCATCATCGCAGCCCGGAAGACGTCCACTGCTGGACATAGGCCTCCCCCAAAGATCTCCACGACGATCGGTCCTGCGCTGCTCGCATCCAATGTCTTCCCGCGATCTTGACCAGATCGTCGGTCCACCTTGCTGGAGGCCTTCCCACGCTGCGTCTTCCGGTCCGTGGTCGCCACTCGAGGACTTTACTGCCCCAACGGCCATCTGTCCTACGAGCTATGTGCCCTGCCCATTGCCACTTCAAAGTCGCAATTCTTCGGACTATGTCGGTCACTCTGGTTCTTCTGCGGATCTCCTCATTTCTGATTCGATCACGCAGAGAAACTCCGAGCATAGCCCTCTCCATTGCCCTCTGAGTGACTCTGAGCTTGTTGATGGGGCCCATAGTTAGCGACCACGTCTCTGTTCCGTAAGTCATCACTGGCAACACACATTGGTCGTAAACCTTCG